TTTTAAAAAAAATTAGCTGGCTTTAGAAATTGAACAGTAAACTTATAATAACCCTAGAAATATTTACTTTAATGCTACTTAGAGGGCTGGGGCCTGGACCCCCCCCCCCCTCCCTCAGACTATTTAGTTTACAGAGATATACAGAGAAAAAAATTAAGCCACCAAACGAGTGAAAAAATACTCTATCTAATTTTGAGTTGTATTTATTTTTTACGTATTCCTACAAAGACGACATTTATCTCCACCAAATCTTGGAAATCCTACCAACTAATTAGAGGACATGTCGTCTTTCTTTTTTCATTTGCCACATATGACGTTGTGCGCAGTTGGTCGATTTTTGTGTTGCCATCTATTGTACTTGTCAACCTATTTGAGAACAGCCAATGTCCACAACCGACCTAGTTAAACAATATAATAGGAATATCTTTAAAATATCTCTCTACATTTATTTCTTTCAAGATGAAAAATGTCGTCTAATGCGCAATCTATCTTTATCTATGGTAACAAATTAAAGTAGAGGACATTTAAAACTATTCACCAACTGTCATGTTTCGTGAATAAAAACACAGAGAATTATTGTAGTTTTTTAATAATAATTATGCTTCATATGGAAAAAATGTCTGCTTATTTGAATACATTACGTAGGGTGTTTGAAAATAATGGTAAAGATATCTGCTGCTTTTTCCTTGTTGATATCTTTATAATTTTGTCGTAGAAATACAAACTATGATATGATATAAAATGTGAATGACCAAATTACTAAGATTTGTATAGAAGTATTGTCAAAAAGTCCGTTTTTTGGGACGTATACCCTGTAACTGAGCTCAGAATTCTATATTAAGGAATTCCTTTTATTTATCAACATTTTTCTATCAATATTTATTTTAATGGATTCCAATTTATCAATTATTTATCTATTGCTTCTTCAAATACCAATTCTATACTATATTAATGCTTCATCTTTAGCTTTTTCTACTTTTTATAATTTCTCCTTTCTTCCCCTTCTTTCATCTCCTCTTTTACTCCCCCTTCTTGTTATACCTTCTCTCTTCTTCCACTACTTTTCTCCCCCTTCTTTTTAAACCTTCTCATTTCTTCGCCCCTTTTTCTCCCCCTTCTTTTTATACTTTCTCTTTTCTTCACCTCCTTTTCTCCCCCTTTATTTTTTACCTTCTTCTTTCTCTCAATTCTTTTCTCTCCCTTTTTTATACTTCCTTCTTTCTTCCCCTCATTTTATACCCTTTTGTTTTTTATAGTTCCTTCTTTCTTTCCCTCCTTTTCTCCCCCTTCTTTTTATACCTTTTCATTTATTCCTCTTTTATTCTTCTCCTTCCGCTTTCTTTCCCTTTATTCCCAACCTTCCCTCCTTCTTAACGTTTTTTTCTTTCCATCCTGTTTATTCCTTTTCTTCCCTCTTCCTCCCCCTTTGCTCCTTTTCTTCCCCCTTTCTTCCATTTTAAATTCCTTCTCTTCACTTTTTAATTTCTTTTTTCATTTTCCTTCCCGTTATATTTCCTTCCCGTTATATTTCCTTCCCGTTATATTTCCCTCCTTCTTCTCTCTTCTCCTCCAATTTCTCCTCCAATTTTCCTCCATAAACTGACACCACAAATAGAATGATCTAGAATTTTGCAATTTTGCAATTTTGCACAATAAAAATCTAAAGCTGTCCTTCATAATTACAGCCATAATTGCACAGGAAAATCAATAAACTGGCAGTTTATAGAAATCACATGATTATTGGTGTAAACAATTATATAATTATATAAATAAAAATATCAGCTGCAGACATTTTTCAGCTTTCTCTGTTGCAAGAAAAAATCCATATACATAATGTCGTCGTAATTTTTAGTACGAGCATACCTGACTCACAACAGTACCCTTCAACCCTATATCTGATCAGTAATGTGAAAGATAACGTCATTTTTCCAGCGTGAAAAGTACTTTATTCCATTATTTCTGAAGCAAAAACGGCGCTAGTCACTTTTGCAGTGATCATACAAATGAAAATTAACAGTTTCAAAAACAAAACCTGGATGTGTAATTCATACTTGATCAAACACAGGTTTTAATGGTACCGTTGTGAATCGGTGCGGGTGATGATGACTCTAAGTAAGATCGCATTGTGACATATACATACAATATACCAACTTACCAAGGTTGTAATGCAAGGAAAGTTATTTCAGAGGTGTACGCATCTTTTGTACTGCAGTGTACTGTCTCTGGGCGGTAACGTAAACACAAGATGGGATGTCGAAGCCTGACAAGGGATCCATCTTTCACAAAAATAATCTATAAAATACTCTGGTCATAGAAAATTATCAAAATTTAATGCTTTTAACCTCCTCGGATACTAAACGAACACTGATGCATCTTTTCTTTTTTTTCAAATTCCGCCAAAAGAGAACTGGTTTCAATATGTACGCAGAGTATACGCAACTGCAATTAATTTTCCTTGCATTATAATCATGCAATATACATGCATCGCAGCTTTTTACAGAGTGTATCATGTACATCATAATAGATCGCTATATTGCATAAAATTGCGATTTTCGGGACTAATCAGAAAATCTAAAAAGAATGAATCATTAAAAAAATTGTATAGGCTTAATGCAGTTCATCCCAGAGATTTTGAGTCATCGAAAGAATTTTTAAAATGTCGTATTCTTAACTTAATGATAATGGAATGCTTCAGATATTTAGTTTTTATTTGTATGTTGTAGTTTTTATGGATCTAGTATTTGGGACTTGAGTTCACAATGTGTTTTAAAATTGTATACAGCATGGAATACTTTTTTAATGTACCTAGAGATGCGCATAGGTACTTGATTGAAAGTATTTCACAATGTTTACATGTAAAAACTATGTTAGCTAGCAGATGTGTGTCTTTCTATGAGACTATTGAAGCAAGTTCTAAGCTTCGCATTAGATTTCTTTCTAATTTATGTAAAAATGACCTCAACACAGTTCTTGGCAGAAATTTATTTTCTATTGCAAATGATAGTTATGTAAATTCTTCGGATCTTAGTAACATGTTAGTTAAGAAACAAATGAAATATTTTGATGTCCCATTGGAACATGAATGGAAAGTTCCGGTTTTACATGAACTTTTAAATACAAGAATGAAAAATTTATATGTTGAAGGATTCGATGATTACGTAATTACTGAAATGATAAATATGTTATGTAGTGAATAAAAATCAATGTTTTCTATTTGTGCATAATTTTGCATATTTTTTCCCTTTTCTTTTGGAAACCTGTATTTTCAAAAAAATTTATTTAAACAAATTTAAACTCTTGAAAACTGTTCCTGCATATTTCATTGCTATTTATTATTTTTACAATTATTGAGATTTAGGTAAAATTGTCAAGACGACATTTTTAAAATTCTTTCGATGTCTATTTGTATTTGAACTTAACTGTATAAAATTCGTATGCAGAAAATACTAGGTGCGTATTTTTTGCGTTAATATTGGGGATAATCCATTATGATATGGGACGTTCTGTACCACAATCGAGTATCCACATGTTAAGAATGTTTTCATTATTTTATAATAGTTATGAATGGTCCTGTAAAAAAACCCAAGAACATAACTGTTTCAAAATATAATATGTACGTGCTTAAAGGGAGTGTTCGCGAAAAATGAAAGGGGATATAGGCTTAATGCGATAAAAAAGCGCTTTTGATCGCTACTAATCTTACTTCTATCTCTTGCATCTATAAGGAGAAAATTGTTAAAGACGTCTCATACCGAATAACATGGCGTCCATACAAATGGAGAAAATTGCAACATACGACTTAGACCGTAAAAAAATCAATTTAATTTCAAACAAATCATTCAGATATTACAACCTATAGTCATCGATTATCTTTCGCCACATTTAT